TTGAATGTCTTCCATAAGCCCATGCTGGCTGGCCTTAATTATGTCAGTGTCCTTTAATCAGTGTTGTCTGCTTTAGCCAGTGATTAATATCAAACAGACTCGTAGTGTAGCCACCTGAGTCATCCTGTTTACCACTGTACTTAAAAGGTAGCTTGCCTACAGTTCAGGGTCTTCTTTAATATTTCAAGAATTAGAGAAAATCAGCATTAATTATTTAGTCAACCTGTTAATTTTTTTTAAAAACACAGCTACTGGCATTGAAATTAGCTAGCTCTAGTAGCTGCCTGTGGAATGTTTTCTTGCTTGTGGAAGGCGAAGTTTTATCGTCTTGATGTAATGTTGCTGTTGCATGGTGGAGCACTGCTGTTAAATTCCTGTTCCAAATGTTTCTGAGGAGAACCCGGTTCCTTGCACTTAAATCTGCTTGCGTTAGATTTCCCTTGGGTGCTTTGGTTCTCAAAATTTTCAGCCAATTTCTAGATTTAAAAGGGTGTTTCAAACCTACAGTAGCAACAGAACCATCTTGAAAGGAAAGGATACTTTTCTTGCTAAACATCTCTGATCAAACAGTAGACCATTTCAAAATAAAATAGCTGTATATAGGAAGGATCAGTGGTATATCTTTTTTTTCCAAGGTTTAGGTTTCCAAAGTTAATAAAAAACCTAAGCAAGCAGCAGGCCAAAGCTATAAATTGCAGTGACAGTTCAAATCTTTAATATTTTTTTTGTCTGTAGGAAAGATTAGATGGGCAGACCTGAATGCAGTCATTGTCTAGACTCAACTTGGGATGCTAAGAATCAGTTTATCTCTATCCAAAACAGTAAAACATCTTGGTAAGACAGATTGCCGTGTGGTACAAGCTGACAGAATTCCGTACTGGAAAGTAGGAGTTTAACATTGCCTGAGAATCTTACCTCAAGCGCCTGTGAGTAAGGGACAAACCTTAAAATGGCTATTTCATGTAAATCTTGAGGTTGATCAAAGTCTGGAAAACACAGCAGTTTAGATCTTTCAGTGTGTCTGAAAAACAGCTTTTTGCCTAGATGTTTATTAGATAGCTATACGTTTTTGAAGACAAGAGCTTGTGGCCAACACGTGCCACAATAATTATAGACCTTCCTTAGATGATTTTTTTCCAACTGAAATGTGTTCTTACACATTTTAACACACAAATCTGGCTGGCAGAATCAAGTTCCGACTTGTCTGAAGCACATGTTTCTGAGGGCTTAAATAGATTTGTCAAGTACTAAATAGTGAGCTGGAAAAGTAATGTAAAGAAGCACTTTTTTTTGTGTGTTTTACCAGCTTGGTAAAACAACCACTGTACCTAAAGCAACCGGATGAAATGAGTTGAGCACTGCTGATAGCAACTGCCGTACCTGTAATATTACCTGTTAATTGTGAGTGAAAGCCACTTAAAGGCTTAATGTTATTGGATTACATTTTGTATCTGCTCAGAGGATGGACCCCCACTTCCGAAGTACTGAACAGCTGACAAAATAGGGTGTTTTTTCCCTTGCCAGTCCACGAATTGGTGGTGGGGTTGACATGATTTCTTCTCGTTTCAGTTCTGTGTGTTGACAGTGGGTTGGTGGCTGCGATACCACCTCAGGAAAATGTGGTTCCAGTTTATGAAGCAGTTCCGTTTTTCCCCAAATATGTGAGAAAGTGGCAACTGTTTGTAGGGTTGCACTGGCACCTTGGTCAAGGATTGACCTAATTTGAAGAAAACCCTGGAGAAAAGGTTCCCCTTTGAAGGAGGGGTGGGAAGTCCTCAGGTAGCATTCTTGCCCAAGCACTGGTGCTAACTGCTTGTTACCAAAATATGGCCTCAGTTTCTTGCTTCAACTTGAGGCTGTCCAGGTGTGCTCTTTGCCCATATAAAATCTGTTGCTATGCAGGTTCCTCAGTAAATAACCATTAATTTGTAGAAAATCTTGATTTAAAAAATTTTAGCAGTTTGAAAAGGGATTCAAAGAGGAAATGTGTTAAGTATATATAATTTTTGTGATTGACCATCCTTGATGACTGAGGAGGCAGCATAGATAAGAAAAACCAAAATTAACACTTTAATTATTAATATTGAAGCTTAGAGCCTAAGAAGCTTATCTGGATAATAAAGATCTGATAAATTCATGCCTTTTTCTTGGCCAAAATAGTTAACATTTATGACCTGATCATTGATTCCCTTTTTCTTGCTCACCCTTTTTCTTGCTCCACCCTAACTCTTTGCTCTCGCCATGCGAGCGCGGTGTGGTCCACCCTGACTTGCCTTTCTGGTTAGTACAGCTCCTCCTCCGCGCACCGACCGCGTGTGGCGCGGTCCCTGTCAGAGGTTCCTCTCCCGTTTGGTCTCCGTGCCCTCACCTTTTGGCCGCCTCTTTGGGAACCGACAGAAGCAGCGTGTGGTTTTTGCTTTCCCTGTCTTCTCTGCTCTGACATGCCAAGTGTATTCCTCTTGCACAGTTCCTGTTCCTCTCTCTCTTTCCTAAACCATTACCTGTTTCCAGAGTGCCTGCGTTCCAAGGGTTTTCTGATTTGCCTGTAATTTCTTTTTCATGTATGTTTTATTTCTAGGCAATGTTGCCTATTAGACTAAATTCACCTGTTACACCTACTCATATCGTCTGTAGATCCATTTTTTTCTGGGTTATTTTCCTGTTTAGCTACAATTTCACCTGCTTACAGGTGTCTCACTTTCAATTCCAAATTCATACAGTCAGAACTTCTAGGGAGGAAGTAACTTACTCGAATGCAGCACAGCAGAGGAAGCCAGGAAAGACTTCAAAAAACAAAGTGTGGTGGCCAGAACGAGGGACAAGGAAAGCCATTTTGCGGCTCAATGGGATGGGATCAGCAGGCTTTGAGTATGCTTGGAGGTACTGAAGTGCTCAGGAGTCTAGTGGAGAAAGATGACACAGTATCCTCTCTTTTTGGGAAGGAAACCCAGAGGCTGAAGTGAATCCAAAACTAGGAAACCACTCAATCCTAACTGGTTTTTAGTGCTTTATCCTTGTATCTGATACTTTTCAACTGTGTTTTCATTGCAGTTTAACAGTCAGTGCCAGCCTTTTTGGTTTTACTGATACTAAGCTATTTTTGATGTTCAGAGCTAAAGATCCTGGGTTCCCTGGTGATCCACAGGAGTTGATCTGAAAGCTCTTCCCCCGACACCCCCCCCCCCAAGGATTACAGGCATTGCAGGAAGTGAAGGGACAGCCGTCCAATTAAGGCTACTAGGGATTGTGTTAGAGGTTTGTCTCTGCCAAAGCGTGCATGATGGTTTGCTTCAGTTGCGCCACGATGTTGTCACATGTGGCTGCTGTATGTCTTCTTCGGGTACCTTTGGATTTGCAGAACAATGAATGGATATACCATGAATGTTCTAATAAGCTGTTGGCTGCTTCAAAAAGGAAACCCAAATCAGACCAAAACTGCCTCAAACTAGGCCTGTGACAGTAGCTGGGTATTTTTGTATGAGCTTCTGGTGTACGTAGTGGGGATAATCCCATTTCATTATTTAGGGTTATTGTGAAAATAGAAATATTATGATTTGTATATAAATTATATTGTGTATGGGGAAGAAGTTAATATGGTATGTAGTAAAAATACATGAGCCAAGTGTTGGTTGGTAGGTTTAGGCTGCAGGGAATTTTAAAACTATTTGTAATCTTATGCCCAAAAGATTTGGGTAATACCTGCTTAAGCAGTTTTAGTGTGTTGGGGTTTTTTTTTTGCATTTTCTAGCTTTCAGGCCGTTGATTTTTTTTTTTTCACTTGAATATCATTACTTTAGTAGCACTTATATAAGAAAAAGTTTCCTTTTTTTGTTTTCGTCTTTTTTTCAGTAACTAATGCCCTTTCCACATATATATCCCCACATTTTGTTTTTCTTTTCCATCACTTTTTCAGGCAAAATATAGACAAGCTTATGAAGCCCATTATTTAGAGTCTGTTAAAGAACAGAGTTCTGATATGGCAAAGCTCTCTCTCTCTCATCTGTCTTTGAGTGCTTGAAGTCAACCAGTTTCTGTAGGTAATGCTTCAAATCCCTTTTTGTTTGGAATTTGGCGACAGTGTGTTTGATTTAAAAAAAAAAAAAACCACACACAAACCCCAAACCCTCTTTCCTCTGCAGATTTGGATTTTGCTGTTGCTGGAAGGAAAGAGGAGCTATATTTCCTTACTACAAAAGACACTTCTTCAGAACTGCCTGGGCTGGACTTGGCTCTGATAGAGAAAACTTTGTTGCTTTCCCTTAGCCTTGTTCTTTCCCTCCAGTTTCTCTTCATCTGCTTTTGTCCATACATTCTTGATAGATAGGAACTTGACCTGGCCCTCACTAGCATCTGCAGGACCTTGGCTAGTAGGAATGAAAATAGCTGAAGTCTTAAGTTGTGCATATTCTTGGTTTTGTTAAGCAAAAAAGAGAGAAATACTGTAAGCTGCCTGCAGATTTAGGAGGATGTCACAGCATTGCATGTACTCAATCTTTAGAAGGCTTATTTTTCAAGAATGAGCAGTGGAAATTTCTTGAATACTCTGCCTCAACTGATAAATCTTTCTTGCTATAATTCTAGTGGGTTTTTATCCTCTCGTAATTGTCAAGAGGCTGCAATTCTGTTAATTAAGCATTACTGTTCTTACAGAAGAGGATTATGCATCAAATTCTTCATGTTTGGTTGTCTTGCAGTAATCGCTGATTTGAAAAGGGACTGTTTGTACAAATTTTTTCTTCAAACACCCCAATCCAGTGTCCTGTTTGAGCTGTTAAAAGAGGAATTTGGGGAAGAGATCTTGATGCAGTTACTCCTATGTTAGTAAATTAATCTGTGTTGGAGAACTGAAATTAATTCCTTTAAAAAAAAGAAAAAAATAAATTCCACGTAGTCAGTTTTTTTCACTTCTTTGCATGAGCAGATGTGCTTTTGTATTGTGAAGAAATTTGTGGAGGACTGTATTAATCCGGTTGTTTTCATAGTAAACATTTTTATTTTTCAGGTTAACGCTTCTTAAAAAAGAGGAATAGAACAGGAAAAATGGCAGCAGAAACTCAGACACTTAACTTTGGGCCTGAATGGTGAGTTTTTTTTGTGTTTTGTGAGACTCTGGAAACTTGTTTAAAAAACCCAACACAATAATTTCAGTCCTTTGGGACTGAATCGATTATAAGGCTGAACGGGATATAGTGTCTTTGTTGCTCCATACTGCTTGGCCTCAGTCACTGGCCTGTGACTGGAAGCAATATTACAAAATTAGTCTTCACTTTGTAAATTGGCATCGTGTATGAAATGAGTTGAGTTTCATGTGATGGTAATGCATAACATGCACACGGCTACCAGGTATCTGAGGGAGGAATAACGTTCATGATCTGGGAGGTATACACCAAGTAAGTGAAGACGACTGACTTGTTTGGTCTTTCTGTCTTATACATTTTAAAAAGTAAGTTCTTACACTCTCTTTACTAGGCTTAAGTCTTTTTTGAAGATTTTAAAGCTTTTTAAAGCTTTTTTTTTTTCAGAATTAAAAAAAAAACTATATGGAAAAAAGCATGTGTTTCATGTCAGCCTGCTGCATGCATGCACTGAAAAGCATCAGGAAGAATGAGCTGTTGTGTTCAAGGGAATCCATGACGTTGTATAATCTTGTGTCAGCTGTTAGTTTTCCGGCTTGTCTGACATGTGTTGTCTTGGCTTTTGCTCAAGAGTAATTGCACAGGTGTGATTATTGTTCAGTGTTTGCTCCAATGTCTTGTTAAAGTGTTGGTGACTGCAATTACAAACGAATTCCAGCTGGTGTGGTGCTTCGGAAGAGGGATGTGATGCTTAAGTGTGTAAGTGGGAGCATGGAGTGGTTATAGGAAATAGAATTGCTACGTAGCGTGCGGTTAGACTGTTACTGGAATCACGTCTTCACTCTTGCTGACACATTTTTATACACGATGTAAAAAAAAAAAATTCGGAAAGTATTCAGCAAGGAAGACAGACGTGATTTGTGGCCTGGATAACAATGAGAGAGCTCAGTCTATTTTGTTAGATTGAAAGAAGGTTAAAGAATTACTTTATCACTATCTATAAATACACCCACCAGGCAGATAGCTTATGCTGGAGTGCTCTTCAGTGTAAGAGACAGACATGATTAGATTCGTTGATGGATGGAAGCCAAAGTTATATTAAAGAAAGAGAAGGAGGAAGACAAATCTAAAAAAAGCACATATTTTGACAGTAACTGGATTGCTGTGTCATAGTGAGGGGACTTCAGTCTCCATTTAGCTTAAAAAACGGATTAGATTATGTATGAAAGTATATATTATAATTCAGTGAGTTACTAGATTTTTACAGGAATAATGGAATAAATTTCCATGATTTATAATTGTTCTTTTGGGTTGCAGTATAGCCATGTGTGTCATGTATGCTGTTGTATCACTTAATAGTGAAACTCTTGGTCGTGTTTGATCTGGATTGGTGTTGAATGTTGCACTGAGCCCTCTAATTCTTTGAATAATGCCTCCCCAGGCATTTTTTGTATGGAAGTGGTATGTAAAGAAACTGCCACTGGGTGGCACCAAATTAAAAAAAGTAAGATAAATGTTTGACTTGCAAATTACTTTTTCCTTTCTGTTTAAAGAACAGTAGAACAAATGAAAGCATGCTTCAATAATTAGGTGAAAGGTAGCCTCTGAATCGAGGTTTTAGTTTAGAGCATCTTCTTTTTCAAGGATTTTGCGATTGTTGAGAAGACTTTTCATTGTTTTATACCTGTCTAAGGTACACATCAAGGAGAATGCAGGAAAATGGTCTAGGTTTTGTTTCTTGATACACATCCTTCTGTAAAACATTCCTCAAATTTAAAAATACAGGATATTTGGGTAGTTGAGGAAACGATTGTATAGAATGAGACTCATCCACCTGCAGGATGGGAATAATACCACACAACTGTAAGATGTTATCTGCAAGAAGTTCAGTAGCTTACCTGTGTGGGATGGGACCAAACTTAAAAACGTATTTATCTGTTCCTGCATGTTACATTACTGCTTGAAACGCCTCTGAAGTAAAGTGTGTCTGTTTTTTACTTTTTTTTTATTGAAACCGTAAGCTCAGTGATGTATGTGCTTTCTGAAAAATGCCATCGATTTTAAATTCTGGAAAAGGAATTTAGAGTAGAGTAGGATTCCAGAGACACAAGAAGAAACCTCATTGCAAAATTTACTGTCCTATGCTGTTTGTTCAAACTTTGTGAAACATCTGAATAAACTTTTTCCTTGGATTTATGTTTGTCACACTGTCCCTAGTGTGGTAACAAATTATTCTTATCAAAAAGAAGTCGTGGTCATTAAGATCTGTGGAAGATTGACAAATTAATTTTGTGCAGCCAGGGTAAATAGCTTAGTCAAGGTTTTAGGGGTGTAGCTAGTTTGCTATATAGTCCACAGGAAAGACTTCTCCAGGGGATGACTTGAATTCCTTGATGCACTTGTGGGAATTTTTTTTTCTTCCTTTTTCCTGGCTATGGGAAAGTGAGGGAAGCTCTTTCACTTTTGTTGAAGCATCAAGCTTTAGAGTTTTGAAGTTAAACTGTTAATGTTTTTCAGTAGAGGATTTATTTCACTTGTGTCAAAGCTGTAAATGTGCAGAGAGATGATAGCATAGTTGAAGACACACTCTCTTCAGTTTTCATTGCTTTTCTGCTTTGTTTCAGGCTGCGAGCTTTGTCCAGTGGCGGGAGCGTGACATCCCCTCCTCTGTCTCCGGCCTTGCCAAAGTACAAACTAGCAGACTATCGCTATGGGAGAGAAGAAATGTTGGCACTTTTTCTAAAGGATAATAAGGTGAGCAGGAAGAGGACGAAGGCTTCATGTGTGTATTCCTAATGACAGTCTTGTGATTAGGAATAGAGATTTGTATTTTGTGATTATGGGCAGAGAAGTTGTGCATCCCTTGGCAAAGAACTGAAGAGGTCTGATTGTGGGGGTTTTTTTGGTGTATGTGCTTATTTGATCCCATTCTTACTGCATTCATTACGTTTGATTCTTCTTGCAACTTTAGGGGCAACTTGCTCTACCCTCTGAGAACAAAAATCCTGATTGCCATATTCAGTCCCACTGCCACAGATGACTGAGGGTTAAATTCTCCTTGCAGCTGTGCAGATTTGCTTGCCTCAGTAGAATTTTATTTAGTATAGTGTAAAATAGTTATTTGATTCAGCTTGAAAGTCAGGCAATAAATCATATTAGCAGATAATCTAAAAAAAGGCAAGAGCTGCCTGTTTGTCCTGACTTGTGGTGGTTCACTTTAGCAGGTAACCAACAAAAAGAGCTGTCTCAAGTAGTTCACTTCTCTGGGACTCAGGACACAAGTACAATCTAGCACATGTAACACAACAGAGCAGTGTAGAAAGTCAAGGACTTCCCTTTGGTTGAAGTTCAAACGAAGGTTCTCAGGGATACAAAAGTCACATTTCAGAGAGCGTTTTGGGCAAATGATTCATGTGTTCTGTGTTTGTAAACATCACGTTTTTCTGTAGATGATGACAGAGGTTAGTTTATTGCTGCAGCAGGCACATAGTGACTTGGAAGTCTGAATTCCTCCAAGAGCCTTGCCCTCGAGTCAGGGAGGGACTGCAGGAAATTGTCAGGTTGTGCCTTTAGCTTTGCATGTAGCCGTGCACACATACCTCCATGGTCTTACCCTACCGTGGTTGCTGACATTTTCATACAGTGCTGGGAGCCCTGTGTTGCTTCTACATGGATTCAAGGACATTGAATGTCAAAGATTTTTCTAAATCTGTTAAGTGTTTTATAGCTTAAAGCCATGCTTTAACATGGAGAATTATCCTGCTCTGCTTTGAGAAGCTGTGATTTAAACCTTGATGTTATGCTTGAATAAGTCAGCCTGTCAGAAGGTATTGTTTTTTGCAATTGTGTATGTTATATCAGATGATGCTGAGACCTCTACGGCTGTGACTGATTCAGAAGAACCTGTTAATACTCTGTGTTACAGGAAGCTCTCCGATGGTTGTGAATGGTCCAAAAGAATATTGTCTCCTTGTGTGTTTGCCAGAAGGGCGTTATTATTAGAGTATGTCTTCCTTTTGCTATACACGTGTTTCCATGGTGTTGAGTCATTCTCGTCGAGTCTGAGAGGACTCTTGATGCTGTTTCTAGTCTACTAGATGCAATGTTTTTAAGCTCTGTCTTGCACCCTAGTCCTTTTTCACTGCATCATCTTCCTTCTTTACTGGCTGAAGATTAGGCAAAGTTGCATCTCTGATTAAAAGATACTCTGATTGAAAGCTGGAAGACTTCTGCTAATATATCACTAAATGAAAAAATAAAACGCTGGGTTGCTTTTGCTTTGATTAAGACTGGGAGAAGTCTTTATCTCTAGTATTGTGAACTAGATATTTTTGAACCAGTTCTCTTTTGGCATAATTAGAGCTCACTTGGCTGTAATCGCAGCTTCTTGTCCACATGCTCAAGGTCACATCTGCTGATGGAGCTTCCGTCTGAGGGACTGATGAAAAATTAGTGTTAAAATTTATTTTTATTTAAATCATCAGTGTTCTCTACTTAATAAATCTGTACTTATAGTTTCACTTTACTTTTTTTTTTGGTTTACTCTCCTTGGTTGTAAATTGGAAATGCTGACTTTAAATCAAAACAACCTCTGTGCTATATATGGTAGTTTTGTTAATATATAAATAAAAAATCTCACTATAAAAGTGCGTTGAAGTTAAAGCGATACTTTTTTAATTTACCAGATGAAATTTCACTTGGTTCAGATTTGAGCTGCACTAGTGTGGAAATATCAATTCTGATGTGTATAATCTTGATACTTTACCAATTACAGTTGTGGGTGGTGGATTCTTTTGATGTTTTGTCTGTAAGAGTTTTTTTCTGAGGGGTGTAAATTTGCAGTGGAATTAAACCCAATAATATTGTTGGAAGTACTAATGTATCGGGTAGATGAGACAGAGTTGGCAGGATAGACTTTTTTTTATAAATCAAAGTATGTGGCATCATACTTGAAATAGAAATACTTGGATATATTTGTGTACTATTTTCCTCTCATACAGATACCGTCAGACCTTCTGGATAAGGAATTTCTGCCTATTTTACAAGAGGAGCCCCTGCCACCACTGGCACTTGTACCTTTTACAGAAGAAGAACAGGTATGTATCCTTTTTTTAAAAAAAAAAAAAAACAAAACTAAACTTTAGATTTTTGCCTTTACACTAATGCCAAAGAATACACCTCTATTAAAAAACATAGAATTTGAGATTAATAGATTTCAGGGAAAGAAGTTATGAAAACATACTGTGTTATCTTAAAGCTTAAATTCCATTCATGCTCAATTATAATCCTTCATTTGAACAAATATTTTTCATACAGTGTTCTGTTGATGGCAGACAGTCAACTTGTTAAATGCAGGATCATCTTCTGGGAAGCATTACCTCTTTTTTAAGTCCACAGCATTTTCAGATCAGTGAAACTTCACCTGCAGTTTTTGGATCACCTTCTTTGTTGTGATAGAAGTGTCTTTAAGTTCTGTAACTTCAGTTTTGTGGTCTTTGGAGAAGTGTTGAAGTTTTTTGACTGTTGACGTTTCTTAGGAAGGTGCAGTACTCTTGGATACTCTGTATGTAAGCAGTTGCTTGATTATTTCCTTATTTGGTCTCTATAGGTGTATAATTAATTGGTGAACAAGAGAAGAGTGAGAACAGGTAGTCCATGAAGATTCCATTTCAAGGGCTTTAAATTCTGTTCCTAACAGAGAAGATTGTCCGCCCCACTCTGGATACATGCCTCTGATTTTTGACTCTGAATTGATTCCCACTTTGTGCTGTCAGAGCTTCTGATTTTCCAGTTGTTCTCTGGTTTCTCATGCTTCTTAGCACTTTTCTTACCTCAGAATACCGTGATTTGATTTCTTTGTTTCTTTCTTGTCTAATAGAAAGCCAGGTATTTTTACTGACTTGAGTGTGATTTGATTTTTGCAAGCCCGGGGAGTGTTAGTATTATTTTGTTAAGATTTCAGAGCATCCTCCTGCCTTTGCCCCACGCTATTGTATTCTTGAATTTTTCATCATCTTTTTTGTGCCTGGATATTCTGTCATATCTTATTCACCTCCTCTGGAATTCCTTCCTCTTCAGAGTTGATTAATATTTCTTATATCAAAGGTTGTCATCTTAAAAAGACATAAGATGCTAATAGTTTAGCTTTTAATGAGCAGTCATATTTAAGTGCACATGAATACAGTGTAGGCACTTCATGTCATAGTTAATCTTAAAAGGCAACTCAGACTGATATTATGTTTTTATGGGAAGTCTTAGCCTAGCTCTCGTTCGTTCTCCGGTGGAGACAGGAGAGGTTCAGGCAGCAAGCCCAGGAAATGGTCAGCCAGACATAGAGTAGCACACCAATATATTGAACCTTGGTGTTATCTTTGGACATCTTTTTTTGCTCATGCAGAGCAGAGTCCTTCAGAGAGTAAACTACAAGCATTTTACCATTGAAGGAGATGTTGACTTCTGGTGGTTGTCAAGATATTGTCCAAGAGGAATAATATGAGTTTAAGGCTTGGCATTGAAAATGTGCTGAGTAGCCTCTTGGTACAGAAGAGATGGTAAGTGCTGCTGAGCTTCAGGGACAGGTGGTCCTCTGCTGCAGTGCCCAGTGTTTCATCAGTCTTGAAAACTTCTGAGGAGTTAGTGTGCACTGTGTCACTGTTTGTTTTTTTCTGTTCTTTTTCACCTGTAATCATACAAGAGTCTTCATGGTCGGTTTAACAGTTCTCTACAATCTCCACTAAGATCTTAATCTGAAAGAAGAGGTCCATATTCCCTTTTTAAGAAAGTCTTCCCTTTAATGCTTTCTGGGGACCCAGAGGACGTGATCAATCTGGTTTTTCTTGTCTGAAAATCTTGTTTTCTCCTTCATGACCGATTTGAGATACCAAGGGAATGGCAGTATTTAAGCTACCAGAAATTCCTGGTGTTTGTTCCCCATGACATAATAAATATTGTTCATCATTGAGAATTGTGTTCAGAAGTGAACTTGAGGTGAACATTAATGGCTTTGCAGCTAGTTGTGGTGCAGGAAGGCTCTTCCACTTAAAGTTGGTAAAAGAGAGTTTAGAACACCTTTGTGTCTACTCTGTGAATACTGAGGTGGTAATATCCTCTCAGAACTTGAGGGATGAAGATTTGGAAGTCCTGTAGAGCACAGGGTGATCAGAACACGTGTACTTTGGGGTAGTGTTCATGTGAAGCTGAAGCAGTCAGGCTTACTCTAGGCTTGGATTCAGAACAATTCTTGCTTGCAACCCAAGTTATGCACACAAGAGCATTGCAGTTGAGTGTGTAGTATGTCCAGGAAGAACTTGTAGCAAGCTGATTTAAAGATGCTTCATCTGCAGGTGGATGATAGATAATGTAAGCTGTATGAATTTAAGCTTAAATTTGTTTAGTCCTGTGGAATTTAAGTAGTCAGATACTTAACAGCTACAGTATTCCCTATTACAAGACATGGATATGCTTTGGACGGACTTGCTGGTCCTTTTTGTCCTTTTTTTAGAATGTCGCTTTCCTCGTGATAAGGATGCTGAGCTAACCTAGAGCTCAACTGATTCATCTTGTAGCAAGTTTTGTTATACGATGTCATGGATTTGTCTAAGATCTATTTCCAGGGAACTGTCTCTTGAAGAAAAAGTTTCTACAGAAGCTTTAACAGAGGTTTCTACCACTGACCCCTGGCAATATGCAGCATATGTTCCTTTGCCTTTCCCTTCCCACCCTTACCACTATTTGCATTAGGAAAATCTTGATCTTACCTGCTTGTGGATTAAGGGAGTCTCAAGCTCTTGCTGAGTATAATGGAGATTTTTTTTTTGTGTGTATCCTTACTGGTTGCTTCCGATGTCTGTTTCTTGGGATGTCTTCCATTTGCTACTAAAGAATTGACTGAGCCCCTGTTTTAGGGGCAGCTTTGCTCTTTGGTGTGCATTGTCAGGGATGGACATGGAAGTAATATGCTAGTCAATAATAGGGTGTTACTTGCTTTTCTGACACTGCTTGTTTTTGTTACTTATTGTGATCTTACCATGTGGGTTATTGTCACTGTGCATGTTACAAGGCAGACAAGTCAAATTAAAAAAAAAAAAAGAAAAAGGAAGTGAGATTACTATTGTGTTCTTATTGGAAAAATAAGGCATCAAAAATCAAGGAGTCTCCTATGCAAGACAGTGAATCTGATCAATAGCTTAAAGTTGGTTCTGTAGTTAAAATATTTCACCCCTTCACAAAAAAGCAGAAGTATCAACAGCAGGAAAGAGAGTGATTTGCTTAGAGGCAAGTGGAGGTGATTCATTTTGGCTTGCTGTTGAAATGGTTGCTTTAAACTTTAAAAGCTAGCTAGGAGAATACAATCAGATTTACTGGAGGCTGACTTTGCTATTTTGCCGTGTATGACTGGATATTTTTTTTTTCCCTCTCTATCAAGTCTACTTAGTTACCAGTTCTCTCTTGAGGGAAGATCTACTTTGTAGGAAGAAGGTATCAAGCAGTTAGGCTGCTTTCTGAAATGAGTTAAAATTCGTTCACAAGTCTGTTGGCTTTGATGTTTGCCATTGAGATTTTAAATAGTATATAATTGCTTGTCTCATTGTTCTCTGGAGACCTTCACAGTCATAGTAATTCAGGTGAGTTCACATATGCAATTTGCCTACTTTAAGTTCCTGTCAAGAAGCCTGTAGTAACAGCTGTTTGGAGTCCTTTGCATTCTAATTATTTGCCACTTGCATTCAGAAAGTGTGTGTGAATTCAGGTTTGCTTGTTAAGGTTTCTGAACATGCTCCTGAATTCTTTGGCCCAGTTTTCCAACTCCTTGTGCTCAGAGTGTGTGGTCAGTTTTTTATAATTATCCATTCTTTATCAAAATAGCTTTTTCTTTAGCAATTCTATAATATTAAAAGCAACTTGAATTTTACCCATGTTTATTGTCTTATTAAAACGAGTATCACTTAAATTTTGGAAGTCTTAAATACACTTAGCTTTCCCCAAAGCGTGTTACTCCTATGATACGTTTAGAGGAGAAAAAAAAAAAAAGACTTTGGTAAATATAGTTTTATTCAAGTTCTGTTGCTCTTTACATGTTCTTGCTTTGCTTAAGAAGTAAGTTTAGAATTGGTATTAATTAATGGTGTCAGATACAGGCAGATGCCAATCTCTTTTTGCAACTGAATGGCTATGTTTAAAACTACTGATGTTCTAATTGCTTCTGTGCTGGAATCATCTGATAAAGGACTAGGTGCTCACTTGCTGCCTTTAGAGCATGGATATTTCAGGTGAGTAACTTGGAAGAGCTAATGTTGACCAAAATCCTTTCGTAGACTATTTCAGCTACTGGTGTCTTCAAGACATTCTTTTCCTTGCTAGTGTTAGTCAATTTTAGAGAGTTTGTCTTGAATGTAAGGAAAGCAAAGCTGATATTAAGCTAAACTTAGGATAATGGTAAGTGTTTCTGGTTTGTTTTTTTAATGGAATCTCACCTTGGCTCTTTCTTCTTCTTGGCAGAGAAATTTCTCGATGTCTGTAAACAGTGCTGCTGTCCTGCGGTTGACGGGACGTGGAGGAGGAACGGTGGTAGGGGCTCCTCGAGGTCGAAGTTCCTCTAGAGGTCGAGGTGAGCTGTTAGTGGGATGTGCTGCGATGAATGCAGGTGATCCAGGTTAATGCTTCTGAAAGATGTTAGGTGGAGCTTGCCTATAGCCAGATTTTTTTCATACCTTAAAACTTTGAAACTTTCCAATAAGGTGGTGCTAAAAGGACAAATATTGTGTTTAGTGGTTGTTCTGTACACCTTAGTGCACATCTGGTACATGTTACGTGCCTTTGTCAGGTTGGTGGGTGTGGAAAACAAAAGGGGAACATAGTTTTGAGGTGGAATAGGAAATAGTTTCGTTCAGAATTGTTAGAAATAACTTTATTAAAGGTATAAAACCAATTTATAGGGAAAGTGGAGAAGAATCCACAAATGTATTTAAAACATTAAGATAGTAGGTGGTGTTCAGTGTTCTGAAAAAACATTTTTATTTATTAACATCCGGAGAATAAACAGGAAAAGGTTAATGGAATAACATAATTGAATTTGGGAGAAATTTGACTCTTGCCAATTTTAGTGCATCGCTATAGTTGATGTCTCATCCTGGATCACTTCAAACATTTGCAAATGAATTGAGAAAATATCCTCAAGCTGTATTACTAGATTTAGAACAAATTGTTAAACATAGAGTTTGTCTTAGCAGTTCCCTTTCCATATGTATACTGCTGTGAACACTGTTTGGGGGTTTTATATATAAATATGATGGGTTACTTTCAGAATACTAAGAAGCTAATAATTTGGAAGTATCATCAGGAGTAATTAGTCGCATAACCTCTGTCTTTGCACATACTTAGGTGAGCTTTCTCTTGGGGTCCTTTCAAATTTAATTCTAAATGTCCTTATCTGGTGATATTTTCAATAAAAAAACCTCTTCAGAAGTCACTTTTATACATAATTAAATGTTTGTCCAGAGTTTTGCTCTGACTTAATTTGTTCTCTCATTTCTGTTCTTGTTCCTTAATCCCGCTTTCTCTTGACTTACATCTTTGAGATATTTGTAGATTGTCATCCGTCCTCTTGTGGTTGCTTCCCAGCTAAGGCGCATGCGTTTAAACTTTTACGAGGCTATCCTGGATTTCCCTGTCACTTGCTCTTCTTTATTTGTCATTGTCTTTGCCCATGCTCAGGGCTTCATTAAAAAAAAAAAGCGTGCACACATATAGATGTGGGGTGACACCCTTCCTTATACATACCTTTTAGTTTTCTGTTGTACACTGGAAAGCTGTTGCTTTTTTGCTGTGTGCTTTTGATGTGTGTATTGCATTGTTACCATCTGTGTTTCCCTTCTCGTAGGAATACATGTATTAGCTGTTTTCAGTGCATTAAGGCTTAATTCTGCAAATGAAATGAAAACTGCTTAAAATTTTGTGGTTTGAGATCACATGACCACTAGTGCACTCTCTAGTTTCAATATCAGATACCTTGACCATTCCTAATTTGCCAAGCCCTTTATTTTTCTTTTGTCAACTTTTCCTTTCTTCTTTTGCTGTTCCATCAACAATGAACGTCATCCTCACACGGTGAGCAGTGGGTTGTTTTTTAATTGCCCCCACTAGCTTCAATGAGGTCATAGGGTTAAATGTCGCAGAATATGGTTTCGAATCCAATAATTCTATTGTTGAATCTATTTGAATGCATGGAAATTTTGTTTGGCAATAAAGTTTGATTCATTATACTTTAGTGGACAGAACTTAACATTTATGCAGTGTTAAGATTGTTTGGAAGTGTCTACTGCGTATATTCCTGTTTTTTCACACTTCATTTTTAAGATATGTTAAGAAACATTAACTTAAGAACTTTCATCTTTTTCACTTACTTTTTTTCATCCTCATTTGATCTTTTAATCTGTGTGAATTTTTACATGCTGTGCTTGTTAGGCCACTCTCATTTTTACCTTCTGCTGAGCTGTAAAGGACATATTTCTCCACCTTACCCCATGCATTTTTCATTCTTGATATGGTTTGAAATTGTAAATTACTGAGGTTTTCCCTCTTTCATTGATCCTGATTGCTGCTTGTTTCTTCCACTCTTCCTCTTTTCTTTCCATGAGCAATTAGTCTTGGGCTTTAGGCATGATGAGTCTTCCAAAAGTTTCTATATCTCAGCAAACAAATTAGGGCTTCTGCCAGGACAAAATTGTACATTTTTTTTTATAATTATACACGTCATGTTCTTGTAATTAAGGACTTTGTTTCTAATAGTTATCTATGAAGAGCTCAGTGCAGGACTGTTGACATCTAACTTAAAGTAACACTTGGCTTGCAAGTAGCAAGCTTCAAATGCGGTTCTGTTTTTTTCGAGTTACAGTGAAAAGGACTGGGAATTTCTTCAGTTTGTTCACTAAGTGAACAGCTTTGCTTAACGGTTGGAAAACATTTTTCTTTATTGCCTTGCAAAATTGCCTGGGTTCAAGGGGTTATCTGGTGTTTTTAATGAACTTTATGTCGTTGTATGCAACAAAGCTGCTGCCGATCAAATTGGGGCTTCAGCTTTACCAGAACAAGATTACTGTCTTGAAGTGACTTGCCCAACAGTAACTTCAGGGAGGAATTAGCATGTACAATTAGATTTGTTAATGAAGTTCTCTCACTGAGGCAGAAATCAGAGCTGTATTCCAGCGTGTGGGAGCGTGGGAGGGAATCTGTGGCAGATGGGCAAAGGGGAGAAGGGATGCACTGCTGGTCAAGGAACGTTGTTGTTAGAACTCCAAATGTGACTTCCCTTATCAATATTTAAAACTACAACATAACACTGGTAAATATTTTCTTGTTAGTCACCCCAGGTCTTACTGACAATGATTACATTCAGCTGATGGGAAAATGATTACTGTGTGGAAGTTGCTTTGATTTTTTTCTTTAAAATTTTTGTGACTGTGTCCCGAAATACAACTTGGTGTTACTATTAAAAAACATTTGCAGCACGAAACTGCTATTGCCAATACTGTATGTGTCTTGTGTGGAGACAAAAATCCAAAACATTTTGATTTAGTTCTGAAGTTATAGTCTCTTAAGAAACCAAGTAGTTGCACGTGACCTTTTTCCTAATTGCCTTGTTTTCCTGGGAGCTCCCTGGGGTGTGCAGTTAAGCCCTGTGCTTTGTGCTGGCGGGACTGGAATGTCAACATTCATGAATAAGAGCCTCAGAGGAGGAGAGATTTAAATAGTCCCTGGAATGGCCTGTAAGCTTACAGACACCTTGTTTTGTAGCTGTTCTCCTTTTTGGTTAAGACCCTTCTGAAGGGTACTTTGCTTCTCATCA